CAATTAGTTACATGCTGTTAGTTTTGTTCCCCTTGTGATGTATTTTCTTGATGTCCACAGAAGCAGCTTATTAATTAGAATTAAATTAGACAAATGGCATCCTCATTTTTTTCTCTTCACTTTTGCAGCATGAGATCCTTTCTATGAGTCTGTTTTTAGTGATTGTCAGTTGGCCAACCGCATTACCTCAAGCCTGAGTTGCCTTCTTAACCTTAAGAAATTCTGATAAATTCCATTCGTCCATGAATGTTACTAGCAGACTTCAATGGCTCTCCGCATTAATGTCGAGCTCTACTTTATGTAGTGTCCCGAAGAGAAGATCTTGTCCTCAGTGGAGGTGTTTGTCAAGGATGGCCAGAGGCAATTTGCTGGTCTTGGTTGGTTCTCTCCCCTATCATCACCTCATCTTCAGAGAGCCTAGCAACTTGAAACACGGTATGGCATTCAACTACTACAACCCTTGAGTGCAAAGCTACTGGTGTTGGTTATACCTAAAGAAACAGTATAACATCTTAGAAGCAAAACTCAATCTGCAGCCCGTGACACCTCTTGAGCCTTGTCGAGAATTATCTACGAAATTCCTTGAGCTACTGTCTACTCTGTGAATGCACCCAGAGAATGCACGGTCTTCGAAGACAGCAAGCGAGCCTGGCAGATACCTTCTAGAATAACAGCCATGCCTCTGTTCTGACTCTAGTGCACGGGCAGACTCCTTACTTTCTATTTAGAAAATAGACTTTCTGGATTGAACAGTAATTTGACCTCTTTGATGCCTGGCATTAGTTTAATAAAAGATCATACTCCTCTCTTGTCCAAACCAGCTTGGGCGGAAATGCATTTTGCGAAACACAGCATTGACAGCTTCAGGTGGATGGCAATGGCAGTTAGCTACAGCAATGATGGAAGGATGCCTCTCTGAATACTGGTGACTGGAAAGGTCTGGTGTCTTCCTCCCCGTCTTTACACTCTAGATATTTCTTTTTTTTTTTCTTAGACCAAGTATTACTTTGATGGCTGTATCTCAAGGGATACGAATAGAGATTTTCATTATTCAGATCGGAGGCTATCCTCTTTTGTGACTTCTTAGGAGACGTCTTTGTTTTATGCTTTACTTGGATTCTCTTTCCTTTCTTTCCATCTTCAGAGCATGCCTTAAATTTGGGTAGGATCCATGACAAAAGAAGGCCTTCAGAAGATTCATCTAGCTCCTTTCATTAAGCTGATATATGGAAATGGAAAAGTGGAGTCTGTGTATTGTTATAACCCCCTTGGAGAATAAAGATTTGTACTTGCCTCAAGCGTTTGTTGAAGTTATTAAGTTTAGTCTTCTCTCTCCTATCGCTCCTTTGGCTGGCTGCCTGGCATTGACAATCTCATTCTGAGAATTTGACCAGCAAAGATGATTATTTATGTAGCTCACATGCTTATGGAAAGGATTTTACTATATTTTCTTGAATCTTACTTTGTATCGTAGAAAGATGACATTTATCCTTTCTGTAGTTCAGATTTTGTGGGCAAATGTAGAGAAATTGACATCAGATCTCATAAGAAAGTCATGATGTTCTTGACTGTGAGGCCAATGTCTTCCATATTTAAAAAAATAAAAATAAAAAAAGCTCTGTGCACAAGCACCAGAAATTCCTTTTTTAAAAAGAGTAATGTGATCAATTTGATTTCCTTATTTTTAAAGATTACATTTAAAGACGCTTTTCAGCTTTTTTTTTTTTTAATGAATACTGAGTTACTACAGTAACTACAATGGTAGATAGACTTGGAAAAATAGTCCCAGATCCCGAAACAGATTTTAATTAGCTATTTTAAAAACTTTTGCACAGTTCAGCAGGTTAATTCCATTATTTGACTTGGTCTTTAGAAATAAAATGCCACAGTAGTATCCAGTGGTCATGTCTTTGGCATATTCTTATATTTGTTAATATTATATAAAACCTTCAACATGTAACCAGAAAATGAAGCTATAAGAGAAACCTGGAAAATGCTGGAATGGTACTCATACCGCTTCTACAAGAAGTCTTTGGGCATTTGCCTTCTCTGTTTCATTTCAAAATCAGATACTGTGTTTAATGCTAATTTGGCTTCTTTTTATTTTTGTTTGTCTTTTGAGTTGGAGTCTTACTCTGTCGCCCAGACTGGAGTGCAGTGGCACACTCCCAGCCACTGCAGCCTCGACCTGATGGGCTCTGGCGATCCTCCAGCCTCAGCCTTCCAAGTAGCCAGAACTACAGGCACATGCTACCATGCCCGGCTAATTTTTTATTTATTGTAGAGACAAGGTCTCGCCAAGTTGCCTGGGTGGGTCTCGAACCCGCAGGCTCAGGCAATCCACTCACCTTGGCCTCCCGAAGTGCTGGGATTACAGGCTGAGCCTCCAAGCCTGGCCTAATTTGACTTCCTTAGTTGACTCACTCACCCGCTGATTCTAGATGAGCTTTCTAACCTGAGCCCTTCATGGCAGCAGGTCTAGGAAGCACTACCCAGGCAGCCATTGCCTGTTTGTAGCCTGTTCGAATCTCCAACTTTCTTTCATTCATCTGGATGAGAAATGGGATGCTATTCCTTAAAAAAAAAAAGAAAAAAAGAAAAGAAAAGAAAAAATTCAGGGAAAAGGGCACCCTGCCTTAAGTTTTATTTAGTTTCTAATCAGTACACAGTCATTTTATGCAACAGCCCTATACTCTCTTTACGCATTCTTTCAAAAAATTTCAAAACAAGTACTTAGATGGGGAAGCTGGGTTGTTACAACGTATTTTCTTTCAAGGTTGACAATTTTTAGGCTGCAGACGAGAAAAGAAAGGGATTAAGGGTATTGAGCCATTTAATATAGCGATGCCTTGCATCTCATTTTCCCAGGAAAGTTTCCTAGAAATTTTAATTGCATAATTATAATTTCTGTATCAGATACTGACAAACCAGTAGCTATTATCAATTTGCATTGTTTGGAACAGCAGAAAGAGAAATATGAAAATGGGTAACATCTTTTGAGTTTGCTTCCAGAAAAGTGACATCAACATACATACGGTGTCTTTTATTTCTCTCACTGTTAGTCAACTTCAAATTCTTTTATGCATTTCCCGCAGCTTCTGGTCACCATCTAGCTAGTACGGCTATGCGGAGATGCTACAAAGTGTGATATCTAGCAGGGTTGTGAGAGACCGTTTCTTCCCTATTTTTCTGAAGCAGGCCTCTGCATTCCTACCAATTCTTCTGTCACCAATAAGTTGAATTTGCTGGTGAGTTCAAAACTCATTCCCCAGGGCCAGTGTTGCCAAGATGCCTCTTCTAAACTTCCCTCCTTGTGGAGATAATATTTTACGCTAGAAACTCTTAAAACAGGAAGAGATTTCTGTGCGTTAATTCTTTTCGTATCCCATATTTTTGCAGTCAAAAACCAATAAAATGAGGTGATCTCTCCCCACCAAGACCATCCCTATGTGTAATGGTAGAGCTGAGACAGGTCTCTGCCTTCCCTGACTTCAGGAAAATGGAGTCAGGACACACCAAAGTCAGCAGGACCACCACGTGAGAAACACGAAAACAATGCAGAGAAAACAGTGGCGATGAGCCAACAAGAATGAACTTTGTTATGATTTTCTTCTTTATGTAGCATCTAAGGATTGTTCTCAAAAGCATTTTAGCAATGGTTTCTTAAAACCATTTTTCAATGACATTTAACTAAAAAACAGTAGGAGAGAAGAAAAAATTTTAATGGGAATCAGAAAATGGAAAAAAGAATGGAAAAGTAAACTGTTTGGGGTTAAAAAAAAATTTCCAACTATGACATAACTGTAAAAATTCAAGGATGAAAGAGATAAAGAAGCATGAAAAATTATTAAAATACTCTCTCCCAGATAGCCTCGTTAGTGTTTTAGTATACTGCGCAATCTTTTCGTGTGTGTCTATGTGCATTTTCTTTATCGGCTAACACCGAGATATAAATCTGTATTATGTTTTTGTGACTTTTCATTGACTCATAAGTATTTCTCTTGTCATATGATAAAAACTTCATAAATGTAACATTTACTACTTGTATGATGTTCTATCTTTATGTCATTTATTTCTCTCAATTCCTATATCATTTAATATTTTGGCTACTTACCGTCTTGTGATATGATGAATATCTTTCTACATAAATATTCATCTGTATTTATATCACTTTTGTATGATAGAGTTCTGGATCTCGAAATACTAGATGGAAAAATAAGTTTTTAGGGGCAGAAGAGTTATGTTAAATGTTGGGAACATTTAAAGGAAACGAAAGATTTGAGAAGCTCCCAACTTCCATCCTTCCAGCTTTAGTAATCTTTAAGTTTACATCTTTCTTTAAAGAAATCCTTTTGTTTGCTATGACTTTGGAGGTTTCTGGACTCGTCCTCGTTTATGCAAATTGTGGGTTTAAGTTTCAAGTAAGGCAGCCTGCGGTATCTGGGTTAGAGGGTCGCTTTGCCATTTCCCCCTATTTCTGTTTCTTGCCAACCTTCTGATTCAGACGTATATTTCTTGTCTCTTTAAAATTTCTTAGCATTTCTCTTAAATGTCACTAATTTTCATAGCTCAGCAGTAGCAAGGCTGCTTTCTGGTAGTGTCCTGATAGTGGCATCAAAGCAAAGAGCTCAAATTGTACTCACTTTGATTGATGAGCTCATTTTGTTACAGAGGGCAAATTGGATTTTTTTATATACTGGTAATAAAAATTAATGTGTGATGTTGCTTTTCGGATGTTATTGGATCTCTACCTTACTACAGATTTCAGCAATAAAAGCACTAACAGATAACTTTACCAGAAAGTTACCCCTTTTCCCTGTAAACTCCCCTCAAAAGTAAAAGATGCTTTTCTAATTTTGTAATTCTAGTACATTTTTTTAAATGTATACATTGGTGGAAACGGGGTTTAGGGCAGTGGGGACAAAGACAGTAGTAGGGGAATCGTCTGTATTTCGATTTTCCATTTACATGTGACATTTGTTTGTTTGTTTTTATTTCAGCACCTCCAAGGTTTACACGAACTCCCGTTGATCAGACAGGGGTCTCTGGAGGAGTTGCCTCTTTCATTTGCCAAGCTACGGGAGACCCGAGACCTAAAATTGTCTGGAACAAAAAAGGAAAGAAAGTCAGCAATCAGAGATTTGAGGTATTAGGTCCATTGTTCTGTTTCTCTGGGGAAAGAACATATCTGCTCTATCTTTCGTTTGTATGTGACTTGCTTGCTTTACTGTGATCTAAAGTGTCATAATCACTGAGACATGGCATTCTTTATTTTGCCTGGGTTGGAAAACTTACCTCTAACTGGCTTTTAAAAAAAAAGGGGGTCTAAGTGACTGCCTTTTGTTTCTACTTGTGCTAGGGCTTTTTAAAACAGTCCTCCTGGGGTCTGTCTGTTGGCTTCATCCTCAGGCTATTTCCCCTTAAAGTTTCAAGAAGGAGCCTCTCATCCTCAAAGGATCAAGTCTAGAGGCCGCGTGAAAGCCTGTTTCTAGCCAAAGCTTGCCATCCCTTTGGCTCATAATAAATTACATGTTCCTCCATGAGGCAGTCTGTGTGGACAAGTGGATGGTACGGGTTGATTAAGCCAACCAGAATCTACCTCTGTGCTGAGAATGGAGTCAGTTCCATCTAATCCCTTGGCTTAGAATGGGAAAGCAGGGTTTTCTGGAAGGAATTCAAGTTCCTGTTACCAAGACGAAGGCCACATGGGTGCCGAGCAGCAGATGAAGTTGTCCACTACGCCTCGCATCTGTGTTTTACAAGAAGTGTGAACTAGAATGAGAAATGTGCTCCAGTGTCTCAGTGTAAAGTGCGGTAGTACTCTGAAAGAAACATATCCAAACAGACTGATGTTGCAGATAAGCCTATTAAAGAAATTGATTTTCTTTATTCAAGAAAGCTCAGTACATTGAAGATGATGAAATATAAATCAGAGATGCTATTTTGTGTGTTTGTGAGGAGCCTTATGGTTTAGAAATTTGCTCATTCTGGAAGAGAAAAGTAGGCAATAAGCTACATGGAGAAAATGTGGAAGAAACTCACAATATCACGCCTACAATTTAAGATTTGAAGAAGATAGCTTGATTTTTAGAGGGTACCAAGACCCCCCAAGCTGCCCCACATTGTAAAACTTGCTTCTTACCTGAGTTTCTAATCTGCTTCATGGCTTAATTCACAATTTAGCACATTAAAGGAAATACCTAGTTAAATAGCATATGGCACCTACAAAATTTAGAACAATCTTAGTTTTACTTATTTTCACAGGATCCCACAGGGCGATATAGAGTTCAAATGTGTAGAGAACCTCATTAATTATAATGGTGAAATTGGAAACCTGGACTTTGGTGTACCAATGATAAGTCTAAAATTATGTTTGTTTGAAAATCAAATACGTTCATTTAAATGTTAAAAAATAATGTCTTAATCATTGGGAAATGTTTCCTGCATCATGTAGAAAATGACCCGTGTGTATGTATCTTTGGTGCACATTTTAAAAAGTTAAATGAAGTTAAGTTTTTCTCAAAGAGGAGTTTGATGTCATGTTCATTTGTGACAATGGCTTCTTAAGAAAATTGTATAACAAAAATTAAATTGTAATACTAAACATTCCAAACATGCTCTCTGCTCATTACATAGTTTCCAATGAGAGTCATATAAACACATCCAGGGAAAATTATTTTTATACAAACCACTTTCATCACACAGTACTGAGTTTTGGGTTGAAAATCTTCAATGCCTACAATAGTGTGTGTGTGTGTGTGTATTTATTTATTTTGTTTTAACGAATCTGCATGGCCCATAAGAACAGTAGATAAGACTGTTTTTGCTCCTATCCCTCATGCCAAATATAGTGTCTGATCCACGGTAGGTGGGCAATTGATGCTGGATATTAAATAAGATTTTCAAAGTGGAAATTACAATACTAGCTTATAATTTTGTGGTATGTTGTCTGTTGTAGCCAGACAGGTCTAAATCTAGAAAATGGTTCAGAAATGCTAACGTATAGTGATGTTTAACAGTAAGTTAAGCAGCATTTCAATTGGTATTAGAATTGCTTAAACGTCAACATTAAACCACAGAATGCTCATAAATAATTTTTTTACCATTATGGAATATTTCACAAAGGTTGCAAGAACTATGGAACTTTTCTTTCCTAAGATGCATAGTAGATTCACTTTTAAAATGTGTGCTTAATAGAGCTGAAAAATAAATTTTGGTGCATTGAGAAATGGGACATTCTGGATATGTTTATGAATATGGAATAAAAATGGAATGTAAAACCACTCGAAGTGGACATATTTTTAAAATATTCAGTCTCCTTCCTCTGTATGTTAACATCTGCATGCCCACACAAAATCTGGGATTAAGCATCCCATAAATATATTTATAAGGCATTCTCAATTTATTTTCAATTTAGGCACAAGGAAATACTATTCACAGGGAAATATGAGCAAAAAAAAAAAAAATACAGCTTCTCAGTGAGCAACTGAAGGAACACAGCATAATTATAGGAAAGACAGGCAGAGGACTCCAGTTTTGTTTGCGTATTTATCGTCACATCACCATCATCTTTTATTTTAGAGAAGTACTTGAATTAACTGACCAAGTGCTAGAATTATCAGTGTTGCTAAACTGTTTCAGAGAAGAGTTCATAATGATGGTGAATTCAGGCTTAGTGTTTAGGACATTAATTTTCTGCCTGGTGAAGCAAGCCTCCATTTTACAGCAAGAATGCTCTAAAAATGCAGAAAACGCTAAGCTAGAACAAATATTGGAATGATTTATGGCAAAATTAATGCACGCCATCAGGCTCTTGGGTTGTGAAAGCCGTCTCGTTGGCTGCCTAAGTGCTAGATTTATGCAGTTTCTCTTCATGGTTTGCTCATCTATACCGTTCAGGATGAGACACTTTAAGCCAGCAGAACTATCTGTGATGGCACACATTACTTCTTTGCCTACGGTCCAATTATTGAATGGATTCACATGTGTGTGTGTGTTGTCAGAGAAAGAAGAATCTGAGACGTGTGTCCATCATGACTGTAAGTCTCTAGTGAAAGTCATAGGATTAAATGGCCCTAGTTGCACACACAGAAATATTTTAATGAGTGAATCCTGGGTGGTTTTTAGCAGAGACTAGAAACCTACAAATTTTTGTATATGTGGTATCCTGTCTTTCTCTTAGCGCGGGAGAAGATTCATTAAATGGGACCGAAAATTCAATTCCACGACTATCAACTATCAACTTTGTATCTTTTATAAAATGACGCCTAGTTTAATCTGAGCGTGATGGCTCGTTCACCACTGCATTGAGAGGTTTAGCTGAGAGGTAGACGATTGTAACAACACCTGTGACAGCCGTTGTTTCCTCTAATAGGTAATAGAGTTTGACGATGGATCTGGATCAGTTCTCAGAATACAGCCCTTACGGACTCCGCGGGATGAGGCCATTTATGAATGTGTGGCCTCAAATAATGTGGGAGAAATAAGTGTATCCACCAGACTCACAGTTTTACGTGGTAAGTGCTCAAGTGCAAGGTTGCTGTTTGTGTCACTGTTGCAATTCCGTATCTCAGGTGTTGTTGTTGTTGTTGTTGTTTTTGGTAGGATCGTTAAGAAGACTAGCATTGCCATGACGCTTAAATGGGAAACGAATTTAAATAAAATGTTTTTAAGAGTCAGACTTCAGTTAGACAGTGGGCACCTTTTCTCGTGATGGGTCTTAAAGAATTGCTAATCAGGGTTAGAACGAAAAAGCCATGAGAAGCATTGATTTCAAGTGCCAGATACTATTTGAATTTTGGTAGATAATTTAGAAAGGAAACTCTTTTGTATGTTAGCTTTACTTGTGCATGAATTTTTCATCCCTCCCTCAGCAGCTGCGTTTACAACCTACCAAAGCTGACACTGTTGCTGGCAAAATGAAAGAAACAACCTCAACCTTAAGAAATTGGTCAGAACCAAGAATACGAAAGGCATCTTTCTTCTTTATGTCAAAACATATGTTTTTGTTTCAGTCTTTTATCTTTCTTGAACCAACATGTACCGATGCGAGTAAGCTGGGACGGTGAACCTTTTTCTGTGCCTCCCTGTTGCTTATGTGATTTGACAAAGCACGGAACGACTTGTCAAATCTCCAGTACAGCATGTTCACTTTCTAGACTTCTTTCCAGTGGTGGTGCTGAAGATTAAAGGCTAATGAGGAAGGCTCTGTTGTGAATCTCAAATTCCGTCTTTTATGCAGAGTTGAGGACATCGCCTCATTTGGTGCCTCGGGGTTGGCATTTCCAGATGAAAACTTCTGTGCCTCTATTATCTCTTTCTCACATGCTTTGCCTGTTCGTTTTCTTTTTCTTTGCTACATTTTGCTCTCTTCCAGAGTTTAGGAGAGTAGACTTTCCTGAGATGAAGGGACTTGGAAAGAAGGGATCCAAATCAGGGAGGAGCTTCTCCGAATTCAGAGAATTTCTCCTCCATTCCATTTGTTTCCGTTGAGGGATGTGATTACTTTGTATCTTTTATAAAGTCAAGAAGATTTTCCTTTCAGATCTGTTTGGTACCACATCTTGGTCTCTCAAGAAGGCACACTTATGGATATTGTTGAGAACCTATTTATTTGGAGGTTAGCAGTAATTAGTGACATAGGCCAAGTTTACCTAGATAATTTGAGATGTTAAGAAACACACGTAGAATATCTAAGAAGCAAAATTAATTGGTTAATTAAGGAAGCTGAGAAAATGAGATTGTTTACATACACATCCTGAAATATGTTCTAAATAAGGTAAATACCAGCCAGGCTCGGTGGCTCAGCCTGTAATCCCGCACCTTTGGGAGGCTGAGGTGAGTGGATTGCCTGAGCTCGCGGGTTCAAGACCCGCCTGGGCAGCGAGACCTCATCTCTACAGTAAATCAAAAAATCTGCCAGGTGTGGTAGCGCGCGCCTGTAGTTCCGGCTACTCGGAAGGCTGAAGCGGAAGGATCGCCGGAGCCCAGCAGGTCGAGGCTGCGGTGGCCGGGAGCGGCCACTGCACTCCAGTCTGGGCGACAGAGTGAGACTCCAACTCAAAAAAAAAAAAAAAAAGGAAAATACCTCACTAAGTCGCAAAGGAAAGAGTAACAACTGGTTATGTGTCTTCTAAATGCATGTCAAAACAGACAAATCAGAGATGAGCTACCTTTTTGGTCATTATGACCAGCTAAGGTAGTGTAGGAAGTTGTCCGTCCCCTGATACACACACAGAAATGTTGACAAAATGTCTGAAAATAAAATGAAATGCACATTATGACTTGCAGACAAGAAAGAGAATTTTCCAGGTGCTAAAAACAAGGTAGAGGTTTCCCAAGCAAAGACAGTTGTCGTCTTATAACCCAACATAATAACCAAGCGGCACATATGCTTTAGTGATGAAGTTTTAACTCTCCAGCAGGATGCAGACATATGTGAAATAAGACTGGAGTAACAGGAACGAGGCGAGCTTTCTGCATGTGGGTGAGGCTCCTTGCACTGTTCCCACCGTGCAATACTCAGAGCCCAGAAGCTTAACATGAAAACTGGTCGGATAAGGGTACCTGACCTCAAACCAGGCGAAGTGGGGACCAAAGGGAGGCCCAAACTTTACCTGTACAATGACCGCTTGTATATCTAATCCTGAATTGTACCCCATACCTTAAAAACAAAACAAAAACTGATCAGAAACAGTGAATCCCACAGAGTGTGGAACAGGCACCCTTGAAAGCACTCACCCCACAGAGACGCCCCATAGTTCATGGCATATGAACCTAGGGAAGGCCATTCCTACCGAACGGTCTCCTGGGTACTAATTCTAAGACAGTTAAACCAGCTGCAACCCACGAGGGACTGTAAGCCCCTAAGCATTGAGGGCAGAAATCATAGTCTGTAATCTATAGGTAACGGAACTGTATGAAAGGGTTTTTCAATACATGTGAATAAAATATTTGAAAAGGGAGGGGAAGAAATGAAATATATTAGGCAAGAACAAGACATCAGAAAAAAAAGAATAGACAGAGTTAGAAGTCAGATTTTAGAACTGGAAGGAATCTTAGAGATGGTGTTTATGCACGCTATGATATGTACTATGGAAAGTATACATATATGTGAGTATACATACATACGTATACATATTCTTGGAGGGTCTGAAAACTGATGCCAATTTTTAGGTGTTCATATCTAAAGCAAAAACTGACTCGTTTGTGAATCTCCTTACAAGATTTTAATCTCCATTTATTTACCTAGTTTAAAACCAGTCCTGTCATGTAGAACGTGTATTACAAAGATATAGTAAAATAAAATTTATCAGAAACTTTTTTGAGCCCTTTCACCTTCTAAATCTCCTGAACATTTTTTTTATTTTTTATTTTTTTTTTGAGTCAGAGTGTCACTCTGTTGCCCAGGCTGGAGTGCAGTGGCATGCTCACAGCCATCGCAGCCTCAACCTGCGGGGCTTAGGTGATCCTTCTGCCTCAGCCTTCCAGGTAGCTGGAACTAAAGGCCTGTGCCCCTATGCTTAGCTAATTTTTTGAAATTTATTTATTGTAGAGATGAGGTCTTGCCAAGTTGCCCAGGTTGGTATTGAACCCATGGGCTCAGGCAATCCTCTCACCTCAGCCTCCCAAAGTGCTGGGATTATAGGCATGAGCCACCTGACAGTTTTTTTTATTTTTTATTTTTAGAGTTGGAGTCTTACTCTGTCATCCAGGCTGGAGTACAATGGCATGCTCACAGCCACCACAACCTCGACCACCTGGGCTCAGATGATCCTTCTGCCTCAGCCTTCCAAGTAGCTAGAACTACAGGCATGCACCACTACACCTGGCTAATTTTTTGATTTATTGTAGAGATGAGGTCTTGTCAAGTTGCCCAGGAAGGTCTCAAACCCGTGGGATCAGTCAATCCTCTCACCTCAGCCTCCCAAAGTGCTGGGATTATAGGTGTGAGCCACTGTGCCCAATTCCCTGAACTTTTTAAAAAGGAAGTAAAGAAAGGAGTGGCAGTCATTTGTTTACCTTAATCTTTGTGCATTTGATGAAGACAGTAATGAAAAGTTGGAGAAAAATATCACTTTGCTTGGAAGGTCACATGGATTAATGCTCGTCTGCTTCCCAACTGACTGGAGTTCCACCATCTTATCTGCATTTATACAACTAGCCCCCACATAAAACAAATGCATGTGAAAATTTTAATGTGATTTTGACTTTCTATGAGAATATCTGTTGTATAAAAGTACATGTGTATGAAAATGTATGATTCGAGTAAAGAAGTTAACCCTTCCTACTTTTTCAAAGACGGTATTTAGCAGTTTTCGAAATGTTTCATGAGAAAAACTTAAAGATATTTCAGATAATGGGAGAGTAGTCTAAACATAACCTTAAAACGGAATACTTTTATGCATCCTTGTTGGGTGAAATGCATGGAGATGGGAATTCTCTTTGTTTCCTAGAGTCACTCCTTTGTTTAAAAATTCTAAACATTGTTAATTCTAGTAATAATAGCCTTTTAACCATATTCCAGTGGAACACTGACATTTGTATTCTTTGAACACCACGAGCAGTTAAACTCAGTGCTTGCAAGGAGGTTTGCGCCACAGTCAGCGAGCTTTGCATCCGAAGCTCACTTTCTCTTGTGAGCGTGTCGGCCGGCACTCAGGTCCCCGCCCTGTGGTAGATGGAGACCACTTTACCCTTCCGTCCAGTGGTCCTCCTCGGGTTCCCCTTTTGTCCACATGGGTCATTTAGTTTCTCTCCACTTTGCTGACAAATGCCCAAAATGTCATGATGGATTTTGTCTGAGCCAACTGGATGAAAATCACTCATTCACGACACACAAGCTACTGGAGAAACTAATTACTTGGAGATTCAAACATCTGACCTGTGTTTGGTGAAGAAGATATTGAAAGAATACTCTGGCCACCCATCAGCCTTGAGGGGAGAGTTTTGGGGAAAACCTTCCCTTTGTCACTTGTTTCAATTTACCCTGGCTCTCAGAAACTGTTTTCAGAAGGAAGGATAACCACAAGCTCAGACTGAACGTGCCCCGAAATAAGATATATGGGCGATTAACCATTTGTACCGTCAGGTGGTTCACAGAGGAAGGAAGAAGCCAGGGATGGGGGTGTTGAATGTGGTGCTTGTGTCCTCTAGGTCACTGCAATTTTTTTGATGGTCTTGACTGTGGAGAGAAGCCAATACCGGTTCATCGGTTACTTAGCAGTTTAGGAAGTGGAGCAGAACTGGTGTACACCTGTTTTCCCTTGTATACACAACACAAGTGGGGGCCGCGGGACTCACTGAGGGCTTATTAAGGGCTGTGCCTTAACTAATTGTGGAATGCTGTTAAGGACGATGGATTAGCTGCCAGGCTCTCAGCGAGGGGCAATCGTAGGCCAGAGAGGGTATGTGAAGAAGAGGCGTTATCCTCGTGAAATTGGTTCTGTCTGTGTCTCTAGTTTGCTGGCCACAACTTCTTCCCGACCTAAGCTGTCAGCAGGAGATCATGTAATAC